TATATATATATATATATATGTATATAAACAGATGCACTTCAGACGAATAACGTGAATGAACAAATGAAGTTACAAATAATACCTATTACATAATGTCAGTTATATAAAGTTTTTAAATTTACAAAAACAATTCTACATGATGTTTGTGGATGCATAGGTGTGAAACAAAAGTAACAGATATGGCTAAAGAAAACAAATAGCAATTCTAGACAGTGGTTGCTTCTAGGAAGGGATGGTAGAGAAAAAAGGATGAAGTATGCCAAATGGGCTGGAAGTGTATCTTCAATATTTTCTTTAGAAAACAGATATGATACAAACATGGAAAACATTAGGATATCTTAAAGCTTGCTGTACATGGGTATTACTTATATTTTTCTCCATATTTTCTGTATGTTTGAAATATTTACTATTAAACATTTCTAAGAAAGCAGTGCATTTGGAGTTTTATGTTTCTTAATAAAAATAGGGAAGTTTGGGACACTTGGGTGGTTCAGACTCTTGATTTTGGCTCAGGTCATGATCTCGCAGTTTGTGAGTTTACGCCCTAACTCAGGCTCCATGCTGATTGTGCAGAGCCTGCTTGGGACTCTCTCTCTCTCTCTCTCTCTCTCTCTCTCTCTCTCTCTCTCTCTGCCCCTCCCCAGCTCGTGCTCTCTCTCACTCTCTTTTTAAATAAATAAGTAAGCTTTAAAAAATGGGGAAGATTATGATGCTTTTTCTTATGCTATTTTTTCTTGGTCAGTGGCCCTTCTCACGGATAAAAAAAAAAATGACATTTTCATATAAAGTGGCCCAGGCACAGTCTCTTCCAGGATTTTCCGAAGGCTCACTCCAGTCATATAATTGATTAGGAACCACAACTGCTGTTGGATTTGTAGATAACCTCAGTGGCACAGTCCAATTTGAAAAGACATTTTCAAGTTAACAATGTGTTCTCATGCTCTCTTCTTCCCTCCTCAATCACTGTAGCTGATCCCACAGATAGATCCCCAGCTGTAGAACAGAAGCAAGGTCAGCACACCCAGAAAAGGTGGGACCACAGAAGTTCATGACTACCCAGAGGTGAGAGAGCTCGAGAATCTCAGGGAATCTTTTGCTGTCTTCCCAAATTTTATCACCACATTTTGAATCTAAACATCTCACCCCAGTAGCTCCTCACCAGGCAGATCACCAGGATACCAACGAGGGGCAGAGGGCACGTGCATGGTACCTGTGTTCACCAGCTTTTGCCATGGCATGTCCAAATCTTACCTTCAGTCTCCCTCTGTGTTCTGCCTCCCCTTTTTCCTCCCTTTCTCTCCCCTTCTCTCTTCTCCCTTTCCCTCTCTCTCTTACCCACAACCTATTTCTGTCTTTGTGTAAGTGTATTAGAATGCTCTATAACATGTTTCTAAAGGAAATAACTATGGGCTAATGTTAAGACTAATCTTCAAGAATGTGTTAAAAAAAGGTTAGCCAAAAAAGTAATATACGGGAAACAATCTTGGTGTTAGACAGAGAAGAGTTGGTTAAATAAATTAGTATATAGCCATACGCGGTGGCTGTGGTGCTTTATAAGAATTCTTAATGTGGAGGGATGTTCACAAACCATTGTTATGTGGAAAAAGTAAGTACCAAAATATTATATGAGCCTGCTTTTTTTTTTTTTAATTTTTTTTTCAACGTTTATTTATTTTTGGGACAGAGAGAGACAGAGCATGAACGGGGGAGGGGCAGAGAGAGA